TATATATATATATATATCTTGGTTCTTATTTTTTCCCCATTCCCCTGCCCTCCCCTCCACCCCTCCCTATTTATACAGGCTTTGTTTCCATTTTTTCCTTTTTTCATATTTATTGCTTCCTCTTCTTTCCTTTCCCCTACCCCTCCCACTTCCCCTTCCCCTTTGGACCTTTTCTTCCTGTTTCACATTATCTATTATACTTTTTGATCCTTATTTATCATTTAAGTTTCTCACACCAGAGAAACTATTTCAGTCATTGAGCCTCGGAAATATGAAATGATTCAACCAGGTTACACAGGGGTCAAATGATTTTGGCAGGGTTCCACAATTATCTTAGCCAGTGTTTTGACACAAATCCCAGTGTGGCTGCCTCTAAAGTTCATGTTGTTCCCATGACACCAGGAAATCAGACAGTATTTATCTGGGCCTGTTTATACTCACATCATCACTTTCGCTTCTTCAATGAAGTCTTCCTCAGACATGGAGCCTTCATTGATGGCCTTGATCGCAACCTTGATATGAGCTCGCCATTCACCCAAATGGACCACCCCGAACTGGCCGCTCCCAATCTCCTGGACAAAAGCCAACTCAGATGGATTTATCTCCCACTTTTCTGGAAAAGGGAAAATCCATGTTACACATAGGAGGGGGAAAGGATAACACTTTAGAACTAGAAAAGATTTAAAAATCATCTGGTCCTATCCTCTTATTTACATGCAGATGAAAAACATACAAATCAGAAGAGAGGATCTACAAGCTTTTTTAATACTCTTATCATGGCTTAATAGAGTTTTGAAATACAAACTTTACTTACTTGGAAAGGAATGTACAACAAATTAAGGATATTGAAACATATTTCTGTGTCTTTCTAAAGTAAATCTACCAGAATAAACTTGGGACTTAAAATACACGTTTCTCTCATCTGATTTTGTCCTGGTGGAAACTTGCAAGGCAGATGGAATTTCTGAAATTCCTTTTTTCCTTTTTCCTTCTTCATCCCTTCTACTATTCTTCTCACTCCATTTATAAAGAGCTTTTTTGTCTTGGTACATCCTTTCCTTAGGGAAAAAATCTAATCTATGCAGTAAACACATCCAGTGTCTGGGCTCTAGCCCACATACATCTAAGAGTGTGTTTGAAGTAGAATCTGTGTTACTGAATTTCTCATTCTATAAAGCAAAGCAAGAAAAAGAATTGTTTTCAAAATGACCCCTTTGAACCCTGTTATCAAATATTTTTTAGCAGCTCCCTTTATACAGCAACACTGGCACCTGCTGGTACTTTAGATAATGCAGTTAAAAACTGTAAAAGCTGGGAGCTTCTTGCACCAACTATGCAAAGTATTCCTCCCAGTAGCATGTTTTAAAATCAATATGGAAGAATTTATACATGACCTTGGTATTGGCATAGATTTTTCTTCTCTTTTCTTTTCTTTTCTTTTTTTTTGGTACCGGGGACCGAACTCGGGACCTTATGCTTACAAGGCAGGTGGCGGAGCTAAATCTGAGCTAAATCCCCAGCCCTAGATTTTTCAATAGAATACAACTATAAAAAAAAATATTGACAAGTAACAGTTCATAATTTCATCTGTTCATAAAAACACCTCACTCGGTGAAAAGATAAGCCAGAGACTGGGAGAAGGTATTTTTAAAACATAACCAAAAAAGAATTCCTATCCAAAATACTAATAGAGCAGTTATAAAATACATATAGTCCTATCCTAAGAGCAAAAGAGTTAAATAGAATACTCAGTCATAAAAGAGAATATCTAAATGGCCACTAAACTTATGAAAATTGGATCAAAATAAGTAGCCATTAAGGAAATGCAAATTTAAACCACAATGAGATGCTACTGTCCACTCACTAGATTGTCTAAAAAATTTTTAATGACAACAGTAGTTTTAGGAAATAATAATAATTTTTAAATTTCTATTGAATTATGGATACGTCCTCCAGCTCTTCTTGAATTTATTTCTTTTTCTTTCTTTCTTTCTTTTTTGGTACCAGGGATGGAACTCAGGACCTTGCACTTACAAGGCAGGCGCCGGAATCACTGAGCTAAATCCCCGGCCCAAATCTATTTCTTTTTTTAAAGACTGGTGCATATTTGCAGTACATCATGATCACATTCACCATGGGGCGTTAGCATGTGGACATAACACATTTTAATTCTTTTCCTACCCTTTCCCTTCTCCATCCTCCACCATCTCTAATTTTCCTAAAATTGCTACAATGTTACCAGAACTGGAAAAGTAACTAACTATGTAAATGTACTAACCTGATTAAATATTTATATTTTAAAAACTAAACTAAAGTTATTAACAAATGTAATTTCTATCTTTCACATCAAAGAAAATATGTGATAAAATAATAATAATAATGCTGGCAAGGCTGTGAGGAAAAAGGAAACTTCTATTGTTGGTGGGAATGTAAACTAGTATAATCGTTACGGAAGTCAGTATGGAGGTTCATTAAAAAACTTAAAATAGAAATTTCATTCAACCTAACTACTCTCCCTCTAAGTATCTTCCTGAAAGCATTGAAGACACTGTATTACAGTGATACAAGCATACTCATGTTTATAATAGCACAACTCATAATGGCTAAATCATAGAACCAGCCTACATGTTCATCAACACATGAATGGACAAAAAAAATGTGGTATTTTCACACAATGGAGTACTACTGTGGCATAAAGAAGGATAAACTTGAGTCATTTGTAAGAAAATAGATGCACCTTGAATCTGTAATGTTAAGTGAAATAAATCCGACGGAGATTTAAACTATGAACTGTATCTAGATAGACATTTCAGAAGAGTAGAGAATTTAAAGCATCTGTGGACCCTGTTCTTTACTGGATTTGGCATCTTAGTGGAGCACATGTGCATACTTTACCGTAGCTAAAGCCAGCTGTGGCTGGTAAACAACTGCCCATCAGCCCAATCGGGTAACGAAGACGGGTCATGAGACCTAAGGAGACAGGCAAGGGAGCATTTCAAGGTTTGTTACTAATATAGAAGAAAGAATGAAATATTCTAAGAGATAGTACCAATGTTTAAATAATTAGGCATAATAATTTATCCGAGGTTAATCTGGTTGCTTATTTTTCCACTTGAAAAACATTTTTTATAGAACAATATAAGCTCATTGTACATATTTCAAAGACTCTAAGAAAGCATATAGATGACAAAACCATCTCTCATCTTTTTTTTTTTTTGAGACAGAGTCTCACTATGCACTTCAGGCTGGCCTTGAACTCACTATGTAGCCCAGGTTGGCCTCAAACTCATAGCAGTCCTCCTGCCTCAGCCTGAGTGCTGAGATTACAGGCATGCAAGCATCACACCTGGCTCATCTAATACATTTTACAAGAATGTAAATGTTCTATTATAAGATTTAAAAAAAAAAAACAAAGATTTTTATACTAAATATATAATATTTATATAATATAACCAGTGATTATAAATAAACCTTAGATTATTTCCAAGATTTCACTACGATAAAATATGCTGTATGTTCTTGAACATAACATTTAGATGTACCTCTCAAGTGATCACCTCAAAAAATGAGATTTCCCTTTCACACAATATACAGAAAAGATATATTAATGTATTTGCCGACCAAATTGACCACCCTCTGAGAGTACTATTTTTTTTAAGTAGCATAGTAGGGTAAATAAGATTAGGTCACTGGCTGGAATTCTAAGCATTTATTGTTTATTTCTTCAGTGCTTATTCATTGAGAGCCTGTTCCAAGCCATGTACTCTCTCGACATCGGTGGAGGGAAGTAATGGTTCCTGCCTTCATGGATCTTACATTCTAGTTGGGGGTGGTGTAAACACACACACATACATGAGAAAAGGCAGATGATGATGATGATGAATGCAAAGGATAAAATACAGTGACGTTAGAGTGGGTGCTCAGGGAAGCCCTTTCTGACAAGATGACAGCTATGATGACATTTATTGACAAGAAGCCAACTCACAGAGATCCTTCCAGGCCAATGGAACAGCTTGTGCAGAAGTTAGAAGACAGAAACAAGCTTGGCCAGTAGAAGAACAGAATGACATAGGCCTTAAGTGACTTTTACACACATAATGCAATTCTGAGTAGATTCCAAAGAACCCAGTAGATGTAAAGTAAGAGGAGGACTCTGCCAAGGGGAAGCTCTAACTCCATGAAGTGTGAGAGGAAGGGGAGGTGGTTCTGAGGTAAAAGCAATGTAAAAGAGGCCTCGTGCTGGAGACTCACACAAAGTGCACTGGGAGACAGAGAAAGAGCTCTGAGCACACTGCTAGAGGCAAAGTCTTCTGGGAGGAAATGACCCCAACAGGAATCTGACAAGTGGAGTTAACACAAGGAGAAATGCAGAAAGAGCTGGTAGGCAGAGAAAACAGCATGAGATGATACTGAGAGGTATGAAGTGTGACAGTGAGTACCTGAACAAAAAGCAGGAAGTAGGAAGAAGCAAGAATGATACCTGAGAAATAGGTCATATTCTGGTTATGATGATCCTTGTAAGCCATGCTAAGGGGCATTACATCTTCTTGCAGGTAAGAGAGCTATCAAAGTTCCCAAGCAAGGGAGTGATGTATTCATACTTATATTTTTGACAAATCACTCTGGAAGTAGTGATCTATAAAGATGGATTGAGGAGAAATGAACATTAGAGAAAATGAGCAAGTAAGAGGCTATTGCAATCGTCTACATGAACAAAGAGTAGGGTAGCACTAGTAGGCAAGGATCCATAAAAGATGCACTTAGAATATGAAACTGACTGTACTTGACAATTAATAAATTGAGTGTTGAGGAGAGTGGAAACATCTACTTAACTTTTATGCTTCCAGCCCCTTTAATTGGTTGGTTGATGGTATCATCACAATAAAGGAAGATTTAGACGGAAGGAGATTTAGAGGGTAGTGATAAGTAAGATGAACCATTCTACGGAATCACTGAAGTTCATCACCAAGTGTATCCGAGTATCCATGTCCACCTGTTTGAATTATGCAAAGACAGAAGTAGAAAGTAAGAAGAGAAGTGATCAAGAAAGAATCCTGCAGAATATCAATGTTTAAGGGAAAAATAGAAGGACCAACTGGGAAGACCAGAAAGGAATTATTTGACTTTGAGTAAAGCAAGAAAGGGTGATGTTAAAACATCTAGAAAGAAGGAAAGTTCAAGAGATGGCACTGCCAAACATGCAAGCCCAGGAAAGCCACATTGTCTGTGCCCACAAGGGGGCTATTGGTACAACATGGAACCAGGGAGGTAGAAGCCAGATTTCAGATTCTTTAAAAGCAAATGGACAATGAGAAATCATGGACCCATTTTTCCCAGTGTGACTCAAAAGAGAAATGTCTAAACAGAGAAAGGCTCAAGAGAACGACTTGGCTTTGTTTTTAAATAGGAAAGTCTTAAGTATGTATTGGCTGAAGGGCTGAAGGAGATGTTCTGAAGAAATGAAAGAGCTACAGGAGAGCAAAGGACTCTGGATGGCAGGTGTTCCCAGCAGGAGAGCAGTGATGAGAGCCAAAGCAAAGGTGTGGCCTCACTACTACTGGAGGGAATGAGGGTGGGATGGAGTGGTGGCCCAGGGAGAAAACAGAGGAAGCTCATGCCTGGTGGCTTCCATTTTCTTACTGAAGTAAGCAGCCAGGTGATTTGCTGATGGGTCAGTGGTTAATATTGGAAAAGAGGTCTTACGGAGAATGGTAAAAGTTTAGAGAACAGAAAAGTGTATTTCCCAATGAGTCCGAAGAAAGTTGAGTCTAGTTGAGTCTCTACATAACACATGATCCAAATAAAGAATATAAAAAGAAATTCTGCTAACTTCAAAGTTTTTATTTGCCAAATGTCTTTATCTTGGACATTATAACAAATGGATTAGTGATGGTCTGCCTCTCTGTGACAGAAAGAAGTCTGTTCCTCTCTTTGTATTGGCTTTATTTCTGGTAGAGATGAATTGTCGTGGTTCAAATGACCAGAGGTCAAAAAGGAGATGAGATAGTCATGGATTCCAGTGCATGATCTCTTCTAAAATTGGGCCCTCCGAAATATCCTCCAATTACATTTGCCTCTTTCTGGACAATGTGGTAGTAATTGAGTACAGTCTGAAGCCAGAGGGTTTAATGCCTCCAGTGACTGCCATGACTTCTGTGGGTTCAAATCTCAGCATAGACACTTATTAGCTAGGTGAACAACTTAACTCGTTACCTATACCTCAGGTTTCTCATCTGTAAGATGGAGCTATCATTAGCACCCACCTCATAGAATTGCTCTGAAATTTAAATATACATTAAAAACACTCAGAACAGTCTGGCCCAAAGTAAATCATTAATAAATACCATTTATACAAAGCTCAGCCCTGCATAGTTACATTTTGGCCTAAATATGACAGAGGAATATTTAACCCCTTTAACTTTTTCTGTTCTCCAAACAAGAAAGAGCAGAAGATGAGAGATTTAATGGAATTTTCTATTGCAATTGTCTAAAGCAGAGAACAGAAGAGAAGAAGACATCATTATTTAGTGTATTGGAAATCCTGTTATATTTAACTCTACATAAATTTCCAGAGCAAATGCACAATGACTAAATGGCCTATTGCTTTGTTGTCATCTATTGCTTTTCTAGCATAGGAGAAATGTAAAACATCAACTTACCTCTTGTCCCCTGGCTAGAAAAACAAAGGGAAACAACTGCTTGGAAAACAGTGTATTTCAAATTCTGAAGCTATTTTTACAGGGAGATTTATTCCTATTGAGCGTCCATTGCCTGTCAGCAACCTCACTTCCAGCCCTCCCAGCCTGATGCTCCTTACTTACCAGCTGCATTGTGTTGGTGGTACCAAACCAACTCAGGCACTGTTGGGAAGAGGTGTCTTTCAGCCACGTACCACTGTCCTAAGTCATTATTTTTAATCTGATAATGTTTTATTGTAGCCTCTGTACTTCTGTAATCAATAAAATGTGAATTAGTAAGCAAGTAAAACATCACTTTAGAACTAAACCAATCCCTGGATCAACAGGGCTCAAATCCTCAAATTCTCGCCCTAGCCACACTGCACAGTGAAGAGAGGATTGACCAATGCAGTAGGTGCCTGATCATCCCAAACAAAATCCTCAATTATTTTATTGAACACTCAGATCACATATAACTCGAGTCCAAGTCATCTAGGTGACAGGGTGGAACTCATCATGGAATACTTATGTAATGAATATCAAGTATTGGTTAAATAAATGAGCAAATGCACTATGAAGTATTGGAAATGTGAGACAAGGAAAGCAGAAAACCCAACATAGGCACATTAATGAGCAGGTTACTGCAATGAGCAACTGGGGTTCAGTCCTTCTAGGAATCTATGAGTGACAGGGGAGCACACCTCAGACCTGTCCCACTGAAATGCTATTAAGCCGAGGGCTTACCCACCAATCCCTTCCCTACTGATGGATTGTCACTCCTGGAATGTTATCTCTCAGGCACTTCCAACCTGGCCATGGGGCCCACAGATTCCCACAGCCAGAGCCCATCCTCAGACAGAAGGACACGGGAGCTTTCTCAGTATAGGAGACACCTCTGCAGGTCAATCCCAGAATAGACCAAGGGGCAAGAAGAACACACCAGCAGTGTTTACCACAACTAATCTCGCACTTCTACTTGATGGTTGAGTAAAAGGAAGACAATAGAGGTTAAGGAATTTATCCAGTGTCACACAGAGCACATTAGGGATACAATATGGACTAGCTAATTGTCCTGACTTCCAGGCCAGTAACTTCTCCCTCGCCTAAGCTCTCACTTATATGCTCTATGTGATGACATCACCATAAAAAAATTGTCCCAGAAATTACTTCTAAAGCAAGCAAAGTCACAATTACTTACCTCCTAGCTCTTATAAACACAGAAATTGTGTAGGATCCCAAATGTCTTGAATCTCTGACAATAAACGCACCTTCTTTAGCCTACAAAACAATTTAGTCATTGTGTAAGTTTTAGAAAGACAAACCTGCATCTTGGTGACAAAACCAAAGCTATACTTTAAGTAACTGACCCTAAAATAAATGACATGATATTCTTACTATAAGGGATGTGATTATTTTTATAAATGCCCATAATATAATCTTCCTTATAGGTTTAGAAGTCATATTTCTAAAAGAAATGCAATTTGGACATATATTTATAATGTATAAGTATTCAAAAAATCACCCCTGATTTTTCTAGGAAAACGTCTGCATTTGATAAACGTGTACCCTACCACTAAGTTATTTTTGTTACGTTGATCAGGATAAGATAAAAATAGCTGGTTGATTCGACCAACGGAGACAGACTGGCAAGACTGCTCTGGAAGGACAGAAGCCGTGAGGTCAGCGAGACCGGGTGCAGGAAGGAGGGTTTCCGGAAAGGAAAGGCAGGGCGGAAGGCAGAGTTCCGGCTCAGCTCCTGAGAAAGAGGGATCTGGGTGAGGCTGAAGAGAGGAGCGAGTTTCAGTCACGCTGTGGCAGAGTGGAAGAGAGGAATGGCAAGGGGAGAGGGCGGTAACTAACAAGGGTGATGCTTAGGAACTGGATACTTGTGAATATTTTAGGGAGACTTTGATAAAGCTGTAAATTGCTTTCAAATAATTTTGAATGTTGGACTGTTTTGTGTGTTTGAGTCTGTAAAAATGTTCAGCTTCCCTGAGTGTGCTCGTGCTTCTGAAGAGAAAAAACTCTCAGAATCTTGCCAAGCCCATCAAATTTACACTTAGGAAGTTCAACAGCATTTAGGCAACGAGGGACCCCAACAGCGGGTCGTCAGTCCCAGAGTGCTCCGCTTCTCCTCCCACACACTTACCAACGTTTGAAATGATAAAATATAGGTTTTTCTGAACTCCTACAGTGTATGCAGGGGTTGTATTACACATCATAGAGGGAAAGATACAAAAAAAAAAAGATGCAAAAAATAGACTCCCATATATGGTTTATATGTACAGTATATGTGTCAGTATTTATAATATGTGTATAATAAAATTGTGTATGTAGTGGTCTCCCCTTATAAAGCTTCAAAGTAGAAAAAAACTACAAATAATATTTCCTGACCACAAAACAGTAAAAGTAAAATTTGACAAACTCCAAAATAAAATGCCCCCCTGATATAACACCTGTAAATTTTTAAATTCTTTTTTATATAACTCAAGGAAATTAAACATATCTAGAAAATAATCACATATCAGAACCTCTGCTACACAGTTCAAGCCATACTCAGAAATAAATTCATGGCCTCATTATTTGTATCAATAAACAACAGAAATAAAATAAGTATATCTTAACTCAATAGGTTAGGATAAGAATTATAAAATAAGCCTAAGTAGAAGGAAACTAATAAAATCAAAGTACAAGATAATAAATTACAAAAACAAAAATATGATACAACAAGTAATTAAGTTCCAAATCTGATTGTTTAGGGAAAATTAAAAAACAGCTTACTAAACTAAGCAATAACTAGGGGTGAAAATCCATCAAAAACAATAAATCACAAGGCAAGAATAATGAAGGATCCAGAAAAAAAATTAAGTTTACTTGACTCTATACAATAAATTTGAAAACTTGAATTAAATGGATAATTAATCACCAAAACATAAAACTTATTTCAGAAGAATTAAAAATATTTACAGACCTAGTGAATAGAAAAATGAGTAATGTTTTTAAAGAGCTACAACATGAAAAAGCATCATAGTTGCACATTATGATGGGCTAAACCTTAAAGAAAGAAACAGTATCAAGACTAAATTATTTCAGAGCATATGAAAAAAGAAGTGCCTCTAAATTTACATATAAAATAAACTCGACATCAATACCAACAACACAGCCAAGACTGCACAGAAAACTACAGACTACCTCACCTGTATCAACACAAATATTCTACATAAAATATTAACAAATGCAATCCAGTAGCACAAAACAATAATATACCATGACAGGGAGGGATTGTGTACAAAAACACGTGAAATTGGAAATTTCTTTAATATAATTCATGTTTGTAGATCTGAGGAGAAAACTCACATGAGCATCTCTAGAGATGTTGAAAGGAATTTGACAAATATCAACTTCTAGTATCAATTTTCAAAAATTCTCAGTAAAATAAGAACATATGGGTACTTCCTTAACACAACACCACTTATTTATTTTATTCTCGAGTCCAGTATCATGCCTTATGTAAAAATCATTTCAAATAAAGACAAAAGAAAAGGAATAATGCCCTCTATTAGCACTCATATTTAATACTATTCTGGGAACACTAATCAATACAATTAAATAAGGGGCAAAAATTAGAAGTATAGATTAAAATTATTAAGAGGAGTTGAAATTATTAGTTGATGGATGGTAAGATTATATATTCAAAACCCAAGAGAAAAAATGAGAATTCACCAAAGTCGTCAGTTACAGATTAATTCACAGAATTTAAAAGTTTTCATAAGTAAAGACAAGAAGATATATTCATTTAAAATAGCAACACAAAATATAAGATACCTTAAAATAAACAAAAAATAAATGGACAAAAGTCATATAAGGAAACACTCTTGAAGGATGCAAGTTTTTGCTTTTTCTCATTAGGTATTTAATTCATCTAAGTTTATTTTTCCTGAAGTAGGGATCTAATTTTGCTTTTTCCTATATAAATAATCAGTAAACGGGTCCCAGAATAAATTGGTTCCCAAACCCCACTGATTTGTAGTATCTGAAAAAAATTCCCTAAATCAATTTGTACATTTAATGCAACCAACAGGACTGGGTTTTTAATAAGCAAGGGGATTCCTATGGACAAAGTCACATGTATCTAGACTGTTTCTGAAGAAGACTAATGGGGGAGACTGGGCACAGCAAAGAAATCCTAAGTATTTACAACAGAGCAGCAGCAGTACGTGATCATACAGATTGACCAATGAAACCAAGTAGAAAGTCCAGATATAATCCAAAATATGTATTGTGTTTATCAGGAAAGTGGCAAATTAATGTAGAAAAGATGGACATTTGCTAGACATCTGGAACAAAATAAAGTTATACATACTTTGCTCCTTATATCAGGAAAAGTCATGATATTATATCAGTGATATAAATGTACCATATAAAACTATTAAAGCAATCAAGAAACATAAGTATTTTTATAACCTTGGAGTAGGGAAGGTGATTCTAACATAAACCCTCAAACCTTACAATAATCCTTCCAGTAAAATCAGACCTATAAAATGCAAATATTATTCATCCCAAAAAACAATAAAATAATTGAAAAAGGAAATACTGCCACACACCACAAAGGATTAATTTCCTTAACACAGCTACCTAGGTCCTATGCAGAAAAACATCAAAAACCCATCAGAGAATTATGGAAAGGATATGAACAGCCCATTTGCAAAAAAGGGTGAAAACATGTGAAAAATGTTTAACATCTATACCATGATGAAGTGTAAAGATGCAGATGGTTCATATAAAATGCTGGCTGAAAAGCTTGTGGGAAAATAAATACTCATAAAGTGATACAACTCCTACAGAGAACATTTTAATGTCTGTGAAAATTAGAAATGGATATTGCCTTTGACCTAGAATTTCCACCTTTGACAATTTATCCCACAAATGCACTCACATAAATGGGAAAAGATGTGTGTACAGGTTAGTAATGACAGCATTGTTTTAATAGAAAAATAACATATACTACTTATTTTCCATAATAAAGGATTAGTTTTAAAAATTGTGATACACTCAAGCCACAGTTTTTTTGCTGATGTGGAAACTCTCAATATTCAGTGCTGAGTGAAAAAGTAAGGGTTGGAAGATTTTGCATAACATGCTGTTGTTTGTGTGAAAATAGTAACACAAATATATATATATTTGCACTTGTATGTGTATTAAAGCTCAGGAAGGACACAAAATAAACTAACAATAATTTCTACAAGGAAGGAAACTGGTAGCTTAGGAATAAGTACAAAAGAAAACTTCAAAACCTTTATACTTCCAGAAAGAGATGGACTTCTCGTACTAAACAAAAAAGAACAGATCATAAAGGAAAACGTTGAGAAATTTTAATACATGAACAGTTTTTAAATTCAGTGTAAGAAAAGACAATTCCTAAAGGTTTTTTAAACAGCAAGAAATCAGCCAGGCATGGCAGTGCATGGCTATAATGCCAGCACTTGGAAGGCTGAAGCAGGAGAATTGGCAAGAGTTTGAGGCCAGACTGGGCCACAAAGTGAGTTCAAGGCTAGCCTGCCCTACATAGCCAATAGCTGTATAAAAACCTACTCAGTTCCACTGATCAAGGAAATGCGCAACTTTTAAAATAAATACAATTTCTGGGGGCGGAGGTATGGCTCAGCAGTAGAATGCTTGCCTAGCATGTGTGACGTCCTAGGTTGGATCTCTAGCTCCATAAAATAAGTAAATAAATCAAACATATACAATTTCTTACCTGATGAATCAGAAAAAGGAAAATGTGAAACTACCAACTACTGGCAAGAGTGTAGGGAACTAGTTTATCTCATCCCCTGTGCAAGAATGCAAATTAGCAAAACTACTCTGAATCATTTCTAGAAAATATCTAGCAATGCTAATCTGTACGTATCCTACAACCAAATAATTCCCTTTCGCTCTTGTGTGCAACATGACTTTAAAAGGAAGTGCCTTGCAGCACTGTTTGTAAGAGTTAAGAAGTTAGAAGCTATCTGAATGTTTCTGAATATTGTATATATTTTTATGTATTCATGTAGCAGTGAAATATTATACAGTTAATGTATATGATCTATGTGTATCTATAGAAATGAATTTTGAAAACAAAATTTAACAGAAACTATATATGATCTTTTTTATTAATGGCACATTACATGTTGTTTACTCATGTATATAGATGGTAAAAATGTAAACACATAAACAAAATGAGAACGTGTCCATTGATTGTATCTGGGGAGCGGAGGAGAACAAAAGAGATGATGAAATAGGCTTCAACTGTATCCTTCATGTTTTGTTTCTTTTATAAATATTGTGGCCAAAAGTTAATATTTGTTACTAAATATTAATGTAGTAGTCTATCACATAACTCCCTGTTCTAGGCTTTGCAGGGAAAAGAGAACCTTGTCTTCTCTTTTTTCTAGATGCAGAGACTCGCTGAGTGTGCACAGTTCCATGATTCGGGCCATTGGACCTGTGCCAGCCTGCTCACTGGAGACCTGGACTTTTCTTGCCTGGGCTGCCTGCCATAACAGCTCAGTTCTGCATATGGGATCTGCCAGTGCTACTCTACAGAGGGCTGCCTGTGAGCCCATGCCAGGCAGATACTGTAAACGCTGCCACACCCAATTTCCTCACAGCACCTAGAGTGAGGCCTTCGCACCTCCACCCCACCATCACCTGAGGCTGGGTCTTTGTCCCGGATCCTCTATGGGTCCCCCACTATGAACTGGGTTTTCTCTGCATCCTGGGCCTTACTAGCATGGAGTTTTTAGTTACAAAACTGATTCTTTCTCAATCACCTCCCTAGATTTCCTCAACATCCAACAACAGTACATAACGTAATACCTCCTACCTAGTTTCTAGTTTTGACTCTACATTTCCCCCAAGGTTAATATTTCCGACAGTTGGAAATTCGAACTACATACACTTTTGATTTGACCTGAATGAGTAGTTTTGATCTGAGTTTGATATCCTGGCTACTGTATTCTCCCCTTTGTTTCCAAAGAACAAAGAAACTAAAAGCACCATGTACTTTTCTGTATTTGTGTTTTTAATGAGTCTAAGCTGAGTTCATGAGGTTAAAGAGTCTATTGATTACCTTTGATGCAAAATTTATACTGGCAACTCAAATGTGAACTCTACTGGCAAACTGCATGTTTAAATGAAGCAATCTCAGTATGTTGAAGTTGAAATTACTTCAGAAGAAACATATTTCTGAAATTATGATGAAAACCACTTGAAAACATGATCTGATACAAACATATCTGACTTACAACTTAGCAGAAATGGGAATGAACTTGTGATAATATTTTTAAATTAGAAAGAATACTTAAGAAGTAATGCATCATTTTGGTTGGTTAAAGTCTTCATAATATACTCTCAGAAATTTTCAAAATATTCATAGATTTATTCACAAATACATTGAAATACCTCTTGTCTTAATAGACATTCTGCTTGATTCCTGGTAATGTTTCTATGGTACCACCTGTGAAACAACAGAAATGATTTTTAAATTTTATATTTAATCTTTTCAGAAAAAAATCTTTCATTTTAAAGATCTTACTATAAAATTGATTTTAGAAAATTATAACTTTTTAAAATTCAGCTAAATCATGATGTACTATTATGGATCAATTAATCAAGTTTAATACAATTTTACTAACTTCAAGCCAATATCTAGTTAATTTTATCATACTTCATTCAACTTTCTAACATAAACAGTGCCTGTAAATAATTTTGAATGATTTAATAAATTCCATGAAAAGTAAGTAATTAAGAAGTCATCGTCTTTAACAAATGCTGCACTTTGGAGGACAAACCTAAAAATAGCAGTATCTTTTCTCTAACAAACTTCTGATTTACGTGCTTTTATAAGTGCTATTTCCCATCCCAAAGCTGACAATGCATTCTAACTTTTCTGACTCGCCTAACTACATTACCTCCAAGTAGAGTTAGCAGTGAGTAGGGTACACAGAACAAGCAGGACATCGCCCTGTCCGGAACACCGTCTCCCGCCTCGGTTGCAGCCTCCCTCTTTTCTCACCCGGTGAGCTGTGGCCACACTGGGATTCTTTCCTCCTTCAAATGCACTGAACCCTTATCTGCCTTTGATCATTGTTTCCTCTGCATTAGACACATCATTAAATGACTATAATATCAGAACTACCACAGCAAACATAACTAAGCAACATGATAAAGTAAACATATAGTTTGATATGACCGTGCCTAGTCAATAACAAGGTTATACAGAAAAGGAGGAAAATGATAGAAAAGAGAGATAGAAAAATTGAAAAAGCTTCATTTCAAGACAAGATTTGTGCTAAAGGATTTTAAACTTAATCAAATACTGCCTGAAATTCTGTTTTCCATGGAAGAATGAATACATAACTATGCATTGAGTCACCATGGGTGGACCAGATGGCTGAATCTCCTCCACCTCCTGGAGGATGGAACCTATCTCTGTGGTCTATCCCTGACCTCCAGTAGTGGAAAACTGCCACTAAATTAGAACAGTCAAGTATCCAGAATACTAATGTCATCAAACTGAAAGTGAACTTCACAAAAGATGAGCCACAGAGAACACGAGGTGATCACAGATGATTCTAGGCAAAATAATTTGACCACTTGCCACTAGTGGGAACAAGAGTAACCAGAGTGTTGCATGGTGAACAGCATCCAAGACTTTTTAATGAGCATTAACTTTGCAGGCAAGAATTTTAAGAGGAGCCTGAGATCTCTTGTTGTAGAAAGAGAAATTCCTTCAAAATAGATGGGGCAGTGCTAAAGACAAAGGAACCAGCTTAAAGGGATCCCCCATGGTTAGGTTGTGAAATTGAAATGTTAAAATGTTGATGATGGGCTGGGGATTTAGCTCAGTGGTTCTCCTGCCTGCCTAGCAAGCACAAGGACCTGAGTTAAATCCCCAGTACCAAAAAAAAAGGAGAATGAGGATGATAATTCACTAAAATAAGTTGAATCTGTAAAAACCCAAGATTGCACAAAGATACTCAAAAAAATGGAGTGGAAATTGTATTTTTAAATGTTTTTCACCTGCTATTGATGCTAATTTTGTCACTTTGTACTTATTTATTATGATGCTAAATAATATAAGTAAATATGCTAATTTTGTTTAAATATAAATTAGAACTTTACATACTTGCGGATGTCATTAGAATGACCTCAAAGTAGTAACCAAAGAGCAGAGAGAAATATGTGACAAACTCAGAGTCCTTTAAAATAATGCAGAATTCTATTAAGCAGTAAATAGATTCAATAAATGGAATTTAAGGGAAGGTAGGAGTATGGTGTTTCAAATTTCATTTAATTTAAATCAGATACCAAAACTTTTAAAAGTTTTTTAAAAATAGGTAAGGCTATAACTTGTAAAACTAGATAGCATTTGTTATAAAACTAATATCAGGCAGGGTATGGTGGTACCCACCTGTAATTCCAGCACTCAGGAGGCTTATACAGGAGGATTGCTTTGAGTCTGAGGCCAGCCTGGGCTACATAGTGAGTTCAAGTCCAGCTTGAACTGCATAGCAAGACCCTATCTCAAAAACAAAACAAAAAACAAAAACAAAAAAACCCACTAATATCAAAAATGTGGACATAGGGTAGGGCATCTATGCACATTAAAAAAAAAAAATCTAGCATGCCCAGTTACTTCTGATTGAAACTATATGTGTATCCTTTGCCCTCAAGTTCCATGTCCAGTCTCGGATTTCTGACCAGTAACAGTACTGTGCTCCTGAAATTTTTTTTTTTTACCTAGAAACTCTAATAGCTCTAAGAAGATAAAGATTTTCAAAAATCATGTAAATCAAGGCCCAAAGAAATGAAATGGCTATTCTAACCCCAGAGTAGCTTAATACAAATGATTCATTAGAAACAAGTTGTTACACTCAGAGTCCAAGCCCACTCTAAACAGGGGAAACAATGAGCAAATTAATTAATAATGAAAGAAAAGAAAGTAACATTGTTGGGTAGTGAGTGCCCATCCACTCACCAGCAGGCGCTGTGTTAGGAACTATCACACATGTCTCCTTTAATTGTCTGGAAAATCCCAACTAGGGTTGTGATATGAAAAGAAGTCTTATCTTTCTAATTTTCCTTAGCAGACTTCCACACAAAATCTCTTGTGACCTGGCCTTTCAAGAGACCTATTGTGTTGGTTGCCTTCAGCCACCTTCAGCGGTGAGTCCACCGGAGGGTGTGCTTGGGTGACAGTAGGTAGTTGTGGAGCTCTTCGAGTGGCTCAAGCCACTCGAGGCCTGGTTTACCCGAAAGTGGAATCTTGGGGCAGGGCTAAAGGGTTCAAGTCAACTGAGAGGACATGGCAGAGAGTGAAGGCAGGGAGAAGAGAGAAGAGACCTTGTGATAGGCCTTAGAAGAGTGACTAGGGAGAGAGAACAGATACTGCCAAAGGAGCAGTCTGGCAAAGTAGTATTAGAGGGAGCACGTACCTGTGTCATCTGCTTTCCTTCAATGGAGTCTATTGTACGCACCAAAGCTTTTGGAACAATCTATTTCAGGGTGAGAGGTACTGAATTTGACTTTTAGGTGGGCTTACATTAGTACCAAGGCCAACCAAAGTTTTCTCATTCCTTTGTATCTGATTCCTGGCTTTCAATAAGCACCTGTTTTAATATTGCAACTCATATCACCTAGTGCCACCTGCTGGAAGCGTATGTTATGTGCAAAATAAGTACCCAAGGGAGGATGCTCAAGGGAAACTCCAAATTTAAAAAAGATTTAGGACTCATCCCAACTCCCCCACTTTCTACCTGTAAATTAATCTTCCCATCTGCACAATGATGATCTCAAAAAATGATTAAGAGCTTTCCTTTCTTCCAAACCCATATTTGGGTTTTTTTGTTTTTTGGTTTTTGGTTTTTTGGTTTTTTGGTACCGGGGATGGAACTCGGAACCTTGCCAAACCTATATTTGTAATAAAAACAGATGTCAAGGAAAACTTTAACAAACATGCCTAATGTTCTTACAAAGTACAGCATGAACCTAGTTTTTATCTTTTCTAAAGCATATCAAAACTTGAGCCAAAATGTAGTAATTTGTCTAGATAGTAAGTCCAATTTCTCACTCACTGAAAATCTAATGTCATTGTTAAAAGTAAATGTTCCACTAAGGGTTTGTAATAAAACAAGTACCATGTGAGTGTTTGGCTTCACAGTATCACTATTTTTTTTTTAAAGTGGCCATACAAAACAAAACAAGCTTAAGAAAAAGAAGTTCCTGTATCAACCATGATAAAGATCAGAGCTCTCTTTATTGCAACAGCTGTCAAATATGTTACTTTCTTTTCCTTTTACAGACCAAAAACAGTATCTACACTATAAAACTGCCAGAATATCCCTGATTTTCATACGTTAACCATAGTGCACACTGTAAAGGAGACTTACTCATATATTTCTAAATTGGTGAGTTTGTTTTCAGTCACATAATTGCTTGGGATTAAGCCTTCATTCCTAGGGAAAAAAAAAAAAGAGAAAGCAAAAATCAAAATATTGGGCATGTTTGTAACATTACCATGACAAAAGCTCTTTTAAAAACCCAAAGATGCAAGCCAAAATCAAATTCATTTTACTGATTAAATTGTTAAAAGAAGAAAAAAATTCTTTTTTTTTTCATTTCTATCTCAACAAAAAATTTCGGTACAAGAAATACTAAGAGCTCAATTTATAGGGTGAGTAGTTTGAAAGATTTTATGACCCCATATTTCCATTTTCTCATATTCCATTCCCTTCTTTCCTTTCCCCTACGCCTCCCACTTTCCCTTCCCCTTTGGCCCTTTTCTTCCTATTTCACATTATCTGTTATACCTTTCAGTCCTTATCTACACTTTCAGTTTCTCACACTAGAGAAACTATTCAGTATTTAAACATGTGTGTCCTATTTATTTCACTTAAGAGTATCTCCTCAATCAATATGCATCCATTTAGCTATAAATGTCTCTAATTTCTCATTTTTTGTGGCTGAGTAGTATTTCATTTTATTAAACACACACACACACACATTTTCTTTATGCAGTCTCCAGTTGATGGGCAATTGGGCTGCTTCCAAGTTTTAGCTATTACAAATTGTGCTGCATGGGTACACATATATCACTGTGGTATGATTCTTTTTTTTTTTAACCATGTTACTCACTTTTATTGTTTAGATAGCAATCAAATCATACTTCAAGGCTTCCTATTAACAGAATAAAGGTTTGTCTTTTGTTATAAATAAATTTTAATGTGTTTTAAAATCCTATATTTAGGAAGTGAATCAGGGCAAGGATCACTTTTTTTGTTGGTTTGTTTTTGGGGTTTTTTTTGGTACCGGGGAACTCAGGTCCTTGTGCTTGCAGGGCAGGCAGCGGAACCACTGAGCTAAATCCCCAGCCCAGGGCAAGGATCACTTTTTTTTTTTTAATTGGTACATTTTAGGTATACAATACATTTACATTTATCATTGGGTGTTTGTACCTGAACATTATGTATTTAAGTTCTTATTTTTTTCCCCATTACTTATGCACCCTCCACCCCTACCACCCTTCCCTATTTACATAGACTTTGTTTCCATTTTTTTTTTCTTAATCATTTTTCCTCTCCTTTCTTCCCTTTCCCCTTCCCCTCCCACCACCCCTCCACCTTTGGACCTTTTCCTATTTCAAATTATCAATTATTTGTTTTAATCATTTTCATCCTTATTTACACTTTCAGTTTCTCACACTAGAGATACTATTCAGTATTTACACATGTGTGTCCTATTTATTTCACTTAAGAGGATGGCCTCAATATGCATCCATTTAGCTATAAATGACTCTAGTTTCTCATTCTTTATGGCTGAGTAGTACTCCATTTTATAAAAAAAAAAAACACACACATCATCTTTATCCAGTTTCCAGTTGATGGGCCCTTGGGCTGTTTCCAGACCTTAGCTATTACAAACTGTGCCACTATAAACATAGGTGCACATATATCACTGTGGTATGATTCTTTTAATTCTTTGGGGAAGATACTTAGTAGGGGAATAGCTAGGTCAAATGGGACCTCTAGTCGTAGTTCTTTGAGGTATCTCCATACGGATTTCCACAGTGGTTGCACCAGTCTGCACTCCCACCAACAATGGAGCAGGGTTCCTCTTTCCCCATAGCCTTGCCAGCATTTGTTATTAGTTGATTTCATGATAGCAGCTCTTCTTTCTGGGGTGAGGTGGAATCTGTGTTTTCATCTGCATCTCTCAAAAAACCAGTGATGTTGAACATTTTTTCATATGTTTATTTGCTATTTCTACTTCTTTGTGTGAGAAATGTCTGTCCATTTCAGATGCCCATTTTTGGATTGGGTCTTTAAATTTGGGAGGTCTGATTTTTTTAAGTTCTTTATAGATTCTACATAGCAGACCTTTGTCTGAGGAACAGCAGGTGAAGATTTTTTTCCACATTGTGGGTTATCTCTTCACACTGTTGGTGATTTCTCTTGCTGTGCAGAAACTTTTTAATAAAATGGAAACAGAGTCTTTGTAAATAGGGAGGAATGGAGGGGTTGAAGGCAGGGCAGGGGAATGGGAAAAAATAAGAATTAAGAGAGATTATGTAGAGGTGCAAACTTCCAATGATGAATGTCATTATATTGTATACCTAAAATGTACCAATAAAATTAATTTTAAAAAATTAAAACTAACAACACAATAACTATACATATTTATGGGATACAATGTGATATTTTAAATTCATGTATACATTATGAAATGATCAAATCATCTTTTAAAAAAAGATTTTATGGCCCTAAAATATTTTCAAAGCAGAAAAAGGACACTGAAATGATCATTTGAAGTCAGAATGAGTGACGAGGCTAAAAGCACCAATTGCAAAAGACACTAGCTTCAGTGTGCTGCAGCATAGTTCATAACATAGGTATTCTAATTGGCACTCCCCTATTATAAGCAGTGCTTTAAAGGAATCCTTAAACATGGGTCTTTGTGCACAGGAATATTTCTCTAAGGCTGTTCAATCAAGCAGGGAACTGCTAAGACACCAAACATGTACATCTTTCAGAAGATACAACAAATCACCCTCCAAGTAAGATATAACATTTACACACCTATTAGCAGGATACAGGTTTCTTACTTCCTATACCTTCACCAGCATTGGCAAGACATTATTTAAAACTAAAAACAAACTTCAGAACAATGCATGAAGTGTAATAAGATCTAGGTAAATGAAATTTACACATACTTCAATGCATGTATGTAAGCTTACTGAAAATGATCAATAAAGGTATTCACTAAATGGGTAACTGTGTACTTTTGGGAAAGAGACTGGGTTTAGAGGAATGGCAAAGAAGAATCCTAGCATTGTTTTAGGAACTATTCACTTAAGTGTAAAAAATAATAATACAATGCTTATTTTAAAGGCTGAGGGATGCCAATAGTATACAGACAGGTATAGCTAACTACACAGACCTGAACTTATTAATGCCTCTTTTTCCACTAAAAACTCTCCATCATATGTTCAACCTAAACTCAGAACTGTTCAGGGTCAAATCATCAGGAAAATATAATTAAGGAAAGAGGTATGGATTTGAGATGCATAATACATATTGGTAATCTCCAAATCCAAATATTGGCAATCAATACTAACATTCTCTCCCAAGGAGTTCAGTCCTCAGAATGTTTCTAATCTCAGAACTACAGACATTAATAATCTATTGCAATGAATAAATTAGATTCCATTCTATTTCTTGCACCAAATAAAATAGTAGATTGAAACTAATAAATTTATTTATTTTCCTCCCCAGATATTTTTCTTTCCAAGTTAATTCCACAACTACTGCAATAGTTGTTTTCAAAACTAGTCATTGTAGAAATATAAAATTGATAAGGTACTATTTCTAGTCTTCCCTTAGAGTTTAATGTGCAAAAAGGCAAATTTCCAAGTAGAAATCACATGGTAGCAATTACTATTTCCATTTTACAAATAAAGATACAAAAGCTCCATGTGGGTAAATGACTTGCCCAAGGACACACAGTAGCAAGCAAGGACGTCTTTGCCTCAAAGTGGCAGGAGCCAGAATACATTTTTCCCCATTTACTGTCCACTTGCAAGCTCTAGCTTTAATTACAGCACAGTAGGCTATTTTAACTGTCTTCCTTCTTTCACTTTCTTCTAGAACATTCATTCACTGTTAATTGAGCACTTACTATGTGCAGAGCATGATTTTAACTTCTGGCCTTGGCAAAGAGCAGGACTTCATGGTCCTGAGACTGCCTGAACTCGCTGTGCTCTAAATCCTCTCTTGTAGGTTGAGAAAGGGAGGAGGCCACATTCTATTCCATGCAGACTTACGAACGTGGACAAACCAAACCACTAAAGAGTCTTTCTATGTTCTGAAGCCTTTAGGGGTTGGAGCAGGAAGCATTTGACAACAGCTAAGCTACATGTCTTACCCCAAACGGTCTCTCGCCTTCCACCAGTGAGGATCGTACTTCTCCAGTACCAGGTACTCCTCTGCTCTCTTCAGCGCTAAATCACAGGGTTCCCGGGGCTGAAAGTCATACAGTGCCTTGACCTGGATCCTCTCCTCCATGAGCACAGAGGCCGGCAGGGGCGGTAGGGGCTTGTGCTTCAATGGCTGTGCAAGGCCCCTGCTGGACTAGAAAATCCAAGAGGTGAGCTCTTTCGCTGTCTTCTTAGTTATTTACACTCAGACAGAACAGAAATGTGGCATAGTTGCTGATTTCCTCACTTCTCCTGTCCAGCTACCCTAAGCAGAAGCCAGGGTGGACTAATCCAAGAAACAAGGCCTTGTGGCCAGCACCGCACTCCTGCTTTTGTAAACTTCTGACCTCACGAGCACTCTCACCAGGATTTTTTGGATTTTGCTTGTCACAGTTCTTAAAAGATGATTATTCTTCAATAGTTTCATGTTAAGGATTCTTCTCTTTTGAAGAAGAAAATGGCCCTTCCCTTTCCTGTGCTGTAAGTTTGGGTTTGGGTTTACCTCACTGCTTCTCCCAACACTGAATGTGACGCCTCACCTCAAAATGGCAGAAGCCAGAATACATTTTCCCCCTTCGCTGTCCACCTTCAAGCTCTATCTTTAAATACAGAACAGTAGGCAGTTTTAACTATCTTCTTTCTTTCACTTTCTTCTAGAACATTTGTTCACTGTTAATTGAGCGCTTATTATGTACCAAGCATGATACTAAGATCTGGGCTTGGCACTAAGCAGCATTTCATGGGGCATAGACTTCCCTGCGAGAATGATACTCACTTGCTTCTTACTTGACAGTTCACTGAACCATGGCCTGCGATGCTGGGTATATTTTTCTGAAGTTTCTTCATCTTTGCTCAGGCTTATTTGTGTTCTCACTTGTCTGACATTGAAAAGCAATCATGTTACAAATGATTTTTCATATAAATAGTGTCCACAGATCCATTAGATTAACACAAAAATATTAGACACATCTGAAATACTCAGACCCCACTCTCTCTCCTTGGGTAAATTGCCAGCTCTCAGAAGTTAAATTTCTTTGTCTGAGAACTAGAGATGCTAAGAGTATGTAGAGTTGTTATGAAATAAAACTGAGAGAACACTTCACATCCCCGTACAGAGTCTGATGTGTATTAGGGGCATGAAATCACAGTCATGCTCACGAATAGTTTACCCTGTGTTAGGCACTCTGCTTATCATTTTATGTGTACTACCTCATTTAATAGTATCTATTCTGATACCTAGCATGGTGTTGAGGTTAAGAATATGACTTTCAATCCCAACTCCACCAGTTCATAATGTGGCCTGGGGTAAACTCGCTAAGCCTCAATTTCCTCATCTGTAAAGTAGAAATTGTAAAAAGAATTGTGTAAATGAATAAACTTCTTAGCATAACATCTAATATATAGGACACTTATTAAATATTAGTTGTTAGTATTAATAGGATGCCTTGGATTTGATTCTTACACTGTCATTTACTGGGCACCAAAGTATAAGGTACTCTAGTGGTGGGGGGAAATGCAGATGACAAAGACAGGATTCTTCCCCTTAAAGTGGGAAGAGTATAGCATGGGACCCTAGACATGTATCCAGTGCACATGAAATAAACATTAGAGAACCAAGCTGCAGGCCTTCGGACACAATACAACGGAAGGAGGAATTGTATGGAGGCAGATGGAGGAAGAATCACCACCCACCTGACATTTGACCCACATCTTTACATGAATGCCATTCAACAGGGAGAAAATGGGAGAAGTCTCCCTGGCAGAGAGAGCAATAGACACAAAGAAACATGACAACTCAATAATGAACAAAGACACGTGAAAGAATTCATTTCCGAGACTGCCCTAAAAGGCAAACTTACCGTTTCTGTACTGAGCAGCAGCAGCAGCAACAGAAAATGGACTGGAAGGTGTTATCTGAAAAGCAATCAATCATTGTCACTATTAGGAAAACACAAGTCCATGACCTTGGTGAGATAGGGCAGAGGGATTGTGCCAAAAGCGGAGTCCCAGGGGCACATGAACTATCCTGACCATGCCTGCCTTCACTAGCGGAAGATGAAAAACTGTCACTAAAGCCAAAAACTAAGTTCCTGGCACCCTGGCCAGTGTGGTTTCCCTTCTCAGGCTCTTCTCCCCATCTGGTTTATGTATTTGCTCGGCCTGTGAATGATAAATGACCAATATATTTTTCTTCACCTTTGTCAGGGCTAATGTTAGCTAACAAATGTACAGAGCAGTAGTATTTTAAAAAGCAGTGTTCTCCTAGGAAGTCTGCTAGCAGTGATTTTTAATTAGGACCAGCACCTTTCTTTAAAATTTTTTTTATCCTTTTATTGGTACATTTTAGGTGTACAATATAATGACATTCATCATTGGAGGTATGCGCCTTTACATACTCTCTTGGTTCTTATTTTTCCCCCTTCCCCTGCCCTTCCTTCAACCCCTCCATCCCTCCCTATTTACAAAGACTTTGTTTCCAGTTTTTCATTTTCTCATATTAATTCCATTCCCTTCTTTCCTTTTCCCTATCCCTCCCACTTCCTCTTCCCCTTTGCCCCTTTTCTTCCTATTACACATTGTCTATTATACCTTTTAGTCCTTATTTACACTTTCACTTTCTCACACTAGAGAAACTATTCGGTATTTACACGTGTGTCCTATTTATTTCACTTAAGAGTATTGCTTCAATGTGCATCCATTTAGCAATAAATGTCTCTAATTTCTCATTTTTTATGGCTGAGTAGTACTCCATTTTATTTTTAAAAAACCACATTTTCTTGATCCAGTCTCCAGTTGATGGCCATTTGGGCTGTTTCCAACTTTTGGCTATTACAAATTGTGCTGCTGTGAACATGGGTGCACATATATCACTGTGGTAAGACACTTTTAATTCTTTGGGGAAGATACCCAGCAAGGGAATAGCTGGGTCAAGTGGGACTTCCAGTCCTCGTTCTTTGAGGTATCTCCATACTGATTTCCACAGTGGTTGCACCAGTCTACACTCCCACCAGCAGTGGAGCAAGTGTTCCTCTTTCCCCACGGCCCTGCCAGTATTTGTTGTTGGTTGATTTCATGATAGCAGCCATTCTTTCTGGGGTGAGGTGGAATCTCAGCATTGTTTTCATTTGCATCTCTCGAATGACCAGTGATGTTGAACATTTTTTCATGTATTTATTTGCTATTTCTACTTCTTTGTGTGAGAAATGTCTGTTCATTTCAGATGCCCATTTTTGGATTGGGTCTTTAAATTTGGGAGGTCTGATTTTTTTAAGTTCTTTATAGATTCAAGATAGTAGACCTTTGTCTGAAGGACCACTGGTGAAAATTTTTTCCCACGTTGTGGATTGTCTTCACATTGCTGGTGGTTTCTCTTGTTGTGCAGAAGCTTTTTAGTAAAAAGAGATCCCACTTGTTGATTGTTTGTGCCAGTTCACGGGCAATCTTTAAAAATTTTTTAAATAAAAAATAGGCTCTTAAATTTTTTATGGATTAAGTCCAAATATAAACTGAATGTTTAAAGAAAGAATTAACTAACAAACCTGGGCTGTGTGTGTGTGTGTGTGTGTGTGTGTGTGTGTGTGTGTGTGTATATATATATGGAGGATACCAGGGATCGAACTCAGGACCTTGGACTTTCGAGACAGGCGGCGGCACCACTGAGCTAAATCCCCGGCCCTGTTTATCTTTTTATTATGAAGATTAGCCTTGATTTAAATGAAATGATTTCCCTTTTTAAAGATCATCAAAAAGTTCTGAATTTTAGAAGGATGTTTTATTTTCATAGAACCTGCATTTCCCAGCCTGCTTATGCTCCTATTGACACCTGAAAAGAAAGGATTGGTATGGCTGCAAAGCATATTAGAGATGAGCATGAACTTTGAGGTTGGACAGACCTGGATTTTAATCTTACTATGGCTGACTGTGTCTTGGCTAAGTCTCTTAACTCTCTCTTAGTTTTCCATCTGTAAAAATGTGAGAAACAATACCTATTCTCTCTGGGAAGTCTTATAAGGCATAGGCTAGTCTCTAATGTTGTGATACGGAGTAAATTTCTTAACTGTTCTATGCTTCAGTTCCTTCATCTCTAAAGTGGGAATGACAGGATACATAACATTCAAAACTATTGTGTGGGCTAATTGGATCAACTGTGTGAACCACCTAGAACAATGTGGGATATATTAAGAGGGTGAATGAGAAGACCCATTGCAATAGGATTGTTCTGACTGTTAAATTGGGTATCATCTTGAAAGCCCTTGGAACATGAAGGAAATACTGCTGGTAAGGATCCCAGCAAGAATCAGAAGGCACACTCAAATGATAGTAAGCTGAGAAAACCTTACTTATAAACGGAGGTAATTAGAGAAGTAGGCAGAGAGTGACAAAGCTACGAAGATTGTGCAGGAACCCGGCACAGACGGACCAGACCAAAAGTGACGAAGCTTAGAGCCTAGGAGGAGAGGAGATCTGCGGTGCCAGCCACCGTGAAAACAGCAGTTGCCACCCATCAAGGGACACAGCCCAAGTCACCTTCTCAGGGAGGAACCAAGGAGGGTAGATCTCCTTACCTCCCACCCTGTCCTCCCTCCCTCTCTGCCTAGGTTCCTCATTGGCCAAACCCAATCAGAGGCCAGATTTCTGTACACAGTCCATGCAGGAGCACAGAGCAGGCTGGAGAAGCGTGGAGAGTGGATCCGGGAGGAGAGGGGTGAACAAGGCAGCCACCACAGTCCACCTCGCAGCATCCACTCTTGTCTTTCATCTGAGTAAGAAGTTTGTGTCCCCAGAAGAGGAGACAAATTTCCATCAGCTCCTACATTATCACAAGGTGATGTCAGTTTAATCAAACTCCCATCTGAAACCACTATCCATTAACCACTATGAGGATTTTGCAAGGTACAGAGGAAATAAGAAAAAAGGATAAAATAAAACACCCACAATTGCCTGTTACCTCTGTAGCTGTCCTGAGTCCCAAGTTGAAAGTAACAGACACTGCCAGTATGCATTCTTTGTTCCCCCTTGCCTCCGTCAAAACCTTGGCTGAAGAGGTGCTTTATCTGGTAAAATGGCCCAAATATTCATTTCCGTGGGGTGTGGGTCCTTGTTTGGTCCTGTCTTCTGGGGTTGTTATAGTAGTCCATTGATCTATCATTATTAGAGACATTAAGGAAACTAAGCCAGTGCATTCCCTGGGTTCCCAAGTCCTCTTTTGTCCCCAATTCCAGCTCAAGAACCAATTCAATTGGCCATCAGGATAATTTACCCTTCAGTGCCTGTCAATTCCATGGGACAAAGAATCCCACAATGGCCAGAGGGAAGTTTCGATTCCCAATACGTTACTCCCTAGTGAAAGGATCCTTCCGGAAAATAGAATCCTCAAACCACCAGACCCAAGGTCACAGAGAGTTATTCGATCAAATGGTGAGAGGGCCCCTACAGTCTCTAATCTCTTGGAGCCTGACTCTGCTGCTGGTTATTGCACCCTCTAAGACACCACCCAAACACTGCAAGATGTTCTTTCAGATGGCGTAATAATTGAGGTTTTTCACAGGCCTTTTTCTGTGCTATCAAGCCAGATGCTACTGAGTTACGGAACACATGGTAAAGTAGACCAAGCAAACACGAACAGGACTTATAAAAGATTGACTGCACAGAATGATTAATCTTGTCAACTTCTGGTTATATTTTCCCATTCTACCTCAATTCTAAGAGTTTCAGCCATGTATCTCTCCCCCAGACCCCTTGTCACCAATCTAAATTCCTGATTAGCAGGCTAACTTGTTTGGTCAAGAGTCAATATTCAATCAGTGCCACTGACTTTGTCGCTAATGAAGTGAAGTTACCCTTCCTGAAGTCCTGGGAGGACTTTATTTCAACGTGATGTGTCAGGCTACCTCTGAATGGGATGGTAGAACAATGGCTGTTTATTTCTTATTGGTACAGGCTCACAATACAGATCTGTCTGAAAATCAGGCCTGAGCTTTTTCCTCCACTAGCTGATGAGACCATTGATGCGTGTCAAAGGAGAAGCCTCAAAAGCAGGTAATTCATGAATATAAGTCTCCTGCTGATGAAGCTATCTTAATATGCTGGATCCCTCTTCCATATTATGATAGATCACTTCTGCATGCCCACTTTCATAGTTCATTGCATCAGGTAACACTAAGCTCATGACAGGAAGTTTAGATGACGTAAGTATTTCATCCATGATTAAGCATTCAGTCATCACTAGTAACAAGCCAAGAGCTACTTTACAAATGGAAAAATCATCAAGAGTCAAGAAATTGTTCCAAATTCCTGGGGATTTGTGCTGTAATTTGCATGCTTGAATTTTCCAAAACTTCCATATGAACAGCATCTTGCCCTCCTATTGCATTCTTTCCCACCTCACTGCCAATTATAATTTGAGTCATTATAATGGCGTTATTTCTCCTAGGAAAGAGGCTATCCCTGTAGCTCTAAATAAAAGACCAAATCAATCTCGGTCCTAACTTGAATATGTTTTCTTGAGCCATTTCTGATACCAACCATGTCAGTTAGGGTTCTGATAGGAAACATGAATTAAATTAGAACCATTTAAAGAGGGTTATTTATGAAGATACAAACTACAAGCTGTGGATAGGGGTAAGGGGTCTGCAAAGGGTGTGTAGGAGCACAGGTGCCACAGCAGTGAAACCGTCACCAATGCTAGGTCCAATAAGACAAGAGGGAAAGAAGCAAGTTGGCTAGAAATGACTTTGAGAGAAGCCATGATCTGAAGTGAGGGATAGATACAGCCAGCTCAATGTGGCCTTACTACAACTTCCTCCAGAGCATCTCCACGAGTGGAATCTAACCAGAGGGTTTGGATGCATGGTAAACTAACCCCTACATACTTTTCTTAGCCAGGATAAAATGTAGGGTAGAGAGGAATGAATAACAAGAGCTAAGGATCAG